ACTTGCACTGCGTCTATCTTACTCCCTCCTGCTCCTGCTCCCTCTCTTCTTCCCCTCCTATTCCACCTGGTCCCCGCGTCAGGACATAGTAAAGAAAGGTTGGAGGTAGGAGAGGATGCAGGCGAAAATCCACACCTAAGCGAATCACCATATCCCTCGGTCTACAAAAATGCTTCAGCAAGGGGTTTAGCACAACTTTAAGGAAAGTCGGGCTCTCGCGGCGTAGTCTTGTGTGCCACTGCACCCTATCATACAGAACCCGGTGCCCAGGAGTTTGCCCAACACAAAGAAGTGGGCTAGTGGCCCGGATCCCAGCTCTCCCAGAGCATGGGCCTACATGATCGATGGCAGAAAACGTACCTGACTGTTCGGTTAGCCCATTCGCCCTTAATTATGTCCCAGAGGAGATAAAGGGCCGTGGGGCTGCCGCTCAGCGAAGTCGGAAGTTCCATCTCGGCCTCCGCAATCAGTTCTTTTATGAACCTGCAAAGGAGGTTTAGTGGAGTTCAGTATATTTAAGGGCAATAGATAGAGTCTTTGAAGACCCTGCTAAAAACGATACGCACAAACATGCAGGTTAAAATTGGTATGTTACTTTAATATAGGGAACGACATATACGCTCAGGAACAAATTATTTTTGTTAGAATCAGGTTTAAGCCCAGTCATCCTGAAGGATTAGAGCTTGCCTAGGTCTAATAATAGATATCAGCTTTGACTGTAGATGCGAGAAAAGTGTAAGCCTGTTGTAACAGAGCCTCTCTGTCCGGATAAACAATATCTCCTGAGTAATTATACATCAAATCTTTGCCTTAGTGCGTCTGTCGTGTCCGCTATTATAGCTTCCTCGGGAAGTTCGTTTCAGGCACTGATAAGACGTTGTAGGACAAATGTAAATAAGAGTCACTTTAGCAAGAGGATTTGTGCGGCTTCGATATATTGAGATTGAATGCAAACAAATTGTCAAAGAAAGAGATCATAGTAGGCCACCTGGAATAAACCGGTCAATGTTTCTGCACGAGTTTCAGAATTAAAATTATTTCCCGCTTTCGCAATGTTTAATGCAGTGGTTATAGTTGTTGTATAATCTTTGATAATTATCCTATATGCATTCTCCGAGTAAGACCTTGAAACACACAAGCCCTTCATCCAAAAGATTAAAATAATAAAAAATGCGTTTATTTTCCTTGCATGAGTTCAAACTCGGTCATTTTGCTTCCCAAATAGTCGTCAGTATCAACAGAGCATGGAAAGAAGGGTCTCTAAGTAAGCTAACGGTACGAATGTGGCTTTAGAAGTTCTGTAGTAACAATGAAAGCTTCGACGATGGATGAGACAGATGACACCCATGCATTCTTGATAAGCAACTTTCGAATGTACGTTTTAAAGAAAACGCATGTCAAAGTGTCAGAGAAAAATCGGAGGAAATTTCTTTAAGAATTTCAATGGTTTTTAGAACATCCGATGCAACTCGATGAGGTGAAAATTCTCCATAAATGCGTCCAAACTATTATCTGAATGAAAATCAAAGGTTAGGCAATCTGAAGTGTGTTCGATTCTCTCTGGGTGAAAGCATAATGATTCATTTCTTGATTGAATCGACACCTGTGACGGGAAGTGGACTCTTAGTGATACACGTACGCGATCAGGACAATTATTTTATCGTGACGAAGTACCCAAACATTTTCCGAAGCCGATGTCGCGGAAGCAGGAGAGTATTGCAACACTCTAATTGTCGGTTATTACTACAATCTGCTAGAGTTTCCTCGAGGCTAATAGGAACGACAGCAGAGGTTTACTGCAATCAACTCGAAGACATTCATGGTAACTTGAGAAAAGTGGGACACGCACTAGTGAAGTATCTTGATCAAATTCTGTTCTACAATAACACAGTCCTTATGTAGTCAAGACGACACCAAAGAAATCAGGGACTAGGGTTAGGAACATTTATCACATCTTTCTTATTCCTGGTCTTTCACCCTAAATTGTTCTAAATTTTTTAAGCCTCTAGGCTCATTTTAAGTAAAAGCTCTTTCAGGAACAAAATTTGATTGGAAACTGGATTCAAGGAGTTATTAGCATACACGTTAACGGATTTTTATCAACAGGCAGTCGTCTCAACGAGGAAGCCACGCCCAAGCACACGCCCCAGCAATATAACTGGTTGTCGAAGTTCGACAACATATTGGGAGTACAGAAGAGGCGTAATTATCTCGTCCTCTCGACTTGATTACTTCTATTCCCCGGCCCTTTTTTGTTAATGCACTCCTGCCTAGACATAAATTGGTCTAAATTTCGTAGGAACCTGCTCGGTGTGAAGACGGGAACTGAACATGCCATCCGCCCTGCCAGCGGATTGCTTGAGTCCCATGTCGCTTTACAACTCGCTGGGCAGCACTGCGACGTCGGTCGATGTTAGTTTATATTAAAATAAAGATAATGCATTTTAATGTAATGAGGGTCGTTCTGGAATATCCAGCTTCTCGCATTTATGTCCCAAACCTGAGTGGACGAAGATCTTCAAACTCTACTTTTGGCGCGGAGCTGCACAAAAAGTTCAGCTAGGGTAGTAACAATATGCATTTAATTATGCTTATCCTAAAGCATGCCC